TTCCCTGTGTCCTGCATGAGATGCCACTGGTAGCGTTGGCCCTGTGGATAGCCCAGCAGGTGGCTTTTCCTAAAGAGCATGCTCAAATGGAGGTGTGGCACAAGGCCCCTTCCCACCCTGAGCACGATGGCCAGAGACTCCAGCTCCCTGCCATGCCCTGCAGCACCACCTCGCTTTGCTACAGGAGCCTCTGATGAGTTTGGCTCCAGGGTTCTCCTTCCCTCTCCTTTCCTGGAGAAAAGGTGACCAGAACCTGGTGCATGGATGGCTACTCGTTCAGTAGAGGGCAGGAAGGCTGCAGCAAAACACAGCTGTTTAAACCCTGGTCTCTCTCATGTGAGAAGTTTGTGCATCCAAACTGGATGCCTTATCATATGCACAGGAAATTGTCAGAGTAAATTAAAAGCCCTGAAAGGCTGGGGCTATAACTCAGTGCTTTTTAACTCCCAAGATTTTGTTGGGGGTGGAGCAAGGGAAGTAGCCACTAATGTAATTTCCAGCAAGAGCACACTCTAATGTAATTTTGCCTGACTACTTTTTCAAATGCAGCCTTTCCTCACTGGACTGCTTTAGGGCCATCCTCCTAAATGCCTCAGTAATTACCAGTGCAATTAAAGCATGTGCCCAGGCTTTGCTCTGGCCTCTTCAGACCCAGAGTTCCTCCAGACTTCAGCTCAGAGGACCCCAGTTTGCAGCAGAGAGCACACTGCATGTAACTGCATGCATTACTACAACGGGGCTTTTTTCATTGACCATGTTCAACAGAAACACAAAATAGCTCATTTGCTTAGGCTTTGTTCTTTTTTTCCTTTTGGTTCAGGCTTGGCAGCACTCAGAGCATCTGCAATTTGCACAGTTTTATACCAGATTAACAAGCATCAATTACTCTGAACAGGATTCCTGACCCAAATTTTACATTCACCTTTTGTCTGCTTCAGTCTGTTTTACTGCCAGCCCCTTACACTCCTATAGCAGAGCTCAACAGCCCATTAGTCTGTGCTTTCCACACCAGAGAATGGTTTCCAGGGAAGGGCCACTTGATTTGCTGTATCCATCTCCTTAGGCAAAGGCTATCAGAGGAAGAACCAGAAAGTTTATCAGAAAGTGGTCTCCGTTGCCTCACTCTTTGTGAACTAAAACATGATCTTTCCAATAAGGCTTTAAGGATCTTGTGGCAGTGCCTTGCCTCACTTCCATTGGTACACTTGAATATCATCAAAGAATCACAGCCCAGTAGTGGTTTAGTTCTCCTGGGCTTATTTTTTACTTCTTTTTTAAATATCTGCCTTAACTGTGTGTGGCCGAAGAGTGCCAGAGCTATTGAACTGTCCTCAAGAGCAGCTCACTGGGGACTTATTCCTGTTATTAGTCACAGACAGCTGGTGCTCAAGGACAGTGCTTGTTCTCAGGGACTCCTAGTTATAGGATAACCACCAATCCCTGCTCCCTTTATTCAAATCTGTGGGACTGAGATGGGGATTGTGCCATGTGATTTTTAGAGACATCAAGGATGGCTTCTTAGAGAAGGTGAGAACCATGGCCGTGGCTTTGCTGCGAGTGGTGCAAAATGTGGAAGATTGCAGGGCAATTGCAGGGCATTGCAGGGTTTTGGAAGGGCTACAAAGGATATGAACTTTGGTGCCATTAAAGGAAATCAGAAGAGCAAAGAAAGGAGGAGGTGAAGTGCAGATTTATGGGCAAGAATGGAGGTGGCAGCTGCAAGGTTGAATAATTTGCAGAGAAGAGAGACATGACGTAGGCATTTGGGAAGCCAGAGAGGTGAGTGTCACAGAAGCTGAACTTTTAGAAAAGACAGGCAGAAAATATACTGCCCAAAAGACTCATTCATTCTCTGCCTGTCAATACACATCCATTTCCCTGGGGGCAGGCAGCACTGCCCTTCTCTGGGATGCTGTTGGACACAAAAGCCTCAGGAGGACAGACTTGCCAGCTGACACTGCAACAGTGTGAGGGCCTGTTCCCAAAGCCTGGGCATTGGGTGCTGGCAGCCACCAAAATCTAGGTGCCAACACCACTGTTTCCCATCTTCCATCTGCACCCGATGCTCTTGCTTCCTGGTTTGCAGCCATCAGCTCAGCCTCTGGCAGGAGCTACAAACCAGCCAGTGTGTTATGAGGCAGCAGGAGGAGTATTTGGTAAATCCAAGATGAAATAAGTGAAAATAAGGACATACCAGAGCTAAGGTAGCATAATTTATTGACTTGAGCTGCTAATACACGCAGTAGGTAACTACATATGTTTAATTATATATGAAGTGCAAGCTGGATTTTTAGTACACATTTAATACGTTGCATGGCATAAGCTCCTACTGGTGGTGTATTTGTCCAGAGCTGTGTACCAATTGTTAGGAAACTCTCCCACAAGCATTTGCTGCTACAAAAGGCCAAGGAACCAAAACACCCCAATTAACCAGTCTTGGCACAATGTGTTAAGAAACTCAGAGAAGGAGGGAAGATAATTCACAGCAGATCAGGCACCATCCAGCTGAAAAATCCCCATTTAATGATAAAGCAGGTATGTCAGAAATAAGGAGGAAGGATTTCTTCTGTGGTGTTTTAAGTCATACATACTAAACACCTTCCCAGATACTTCTCTCATGCTTTATCACTTGAGGGATACAAGAGAGTAATGATAGAAAAAACTTCTTTAATGTCTTTTTTTTTTTTCTTATATCTTGCAATCCTTTCTTTCTGTTAAGATGCTGAATTGTTTGTGCTGTCCATTTTAAATCCACTTTTTGTAAACATTTTTTGAGCAGACTGGTGCACCCCTTCCTGAACATGTGCAGCACAGTGCAATTTTACCTATGTGCTCCTATCTCCCGTTTACACTTCCTACCCTCTCTGTCCTTAGCTTTGCTTTTAAAAATGATGCAACTTAATACTGAAGTTGAATGGCCACTGGGGCTCATATTTCTCAAAGACTCCGGCCTTTGGGGAGGTAGACATGAACTCCTTGGAGAAGGCAAGGAATTCAGAAGAAATCTCTCCAAGACCAGGATGGTAACACCTAGTAGATGCTGCCAGAGGTTCAGCCAGAGGGTTGGCCAGCAGGACAAGCTGCTGGGAACGTGGCTGCCCTCAGGATCCTCCCGCTGGGATGCACACTCCTTCCTGGTGTGACTCCACTGGAACCCACCGCTTGCACAAGCACAGGAAAACAAAGGCAGCTGTGCTAGTGTCCAGACTTCCAGAGCTTATCTTGGGCAAGTTCCTAGGCCCAGTGGCTCCTTGGACTTTAATTAAGACCTCTGTTTGGAAAACAAAAGCAACAAGAAGAAAAAATTTGAACTATTGAACTGGGCTACAAATGCTGGTGGCTTGACCTCCCAGCAGCATGAAGAGCCCAGGTAAGTGACAGCCACAGATAATACACTGATTGTTTTATGAATTTATTTTTTAGTTTGTGATTTCCAGCATCACTTTGGACATGCAGAGAGAGCTATAGTCTTCTATCTGGTGGTAAAAGTCTTATCCCTTCCTTGATTATTTTAATGCATTATCATTTTAATACAACATCTACTTTTATTTAACCTCTGTTGTAGCACCAGTGTAAGTACAGCTGTTGCAGGGCTGTCACTGGTATAGATAAAACACACATCTCTAACAGTTGTGCACAGCATTTATCATGAAGCAGAAAACAGTGGCTTGTAAGAAAATAAAACCTTGATTTGAGGCTCTTAGCCCTGAATTATACACATTCTTTGTTTCATTTTCTTCTGTTATAGACTCTTCTGCGTATAACTTTTAATATGCTCTTTAATGCCTGCTAATAAATAAGTATATAATTACCCTGACTCCAATCAGAGCTAATACAGTTGAACAAACTTTCTGAAAAACAAAAAAACCATGTACATTGCACAGCATGAATAACATCTGTAAGCACCCTACTCTAAGACCTGGGTTACAGCAATACAAAAGTGAGAACTTCTTACATGGGGGGTACCCCAGACACAATGGCAGAAACATCCAGTGGGAGAGAAAGGACAGGGTGACACTGGTAACTGAACAATGATGGTCGGGTAGACAAGGGGATGGAAACAAAAAGGCCTTCCAGTGTGGAAACCAGAGTGAAGGCAACATGTACTGGGCCACGCTGTATTTTCAGACAGTTAACAATGCTGTCCCAGCCCCTTCAGGGTCACACAGAGCTCAGCCAGCTCCACAGAGGTGAAAAATACAGAAATACATTCCTTCTATATCTTCCCCCCTTGTCTGATTTTCTCCTGGGAGAGAGCTCCTTGGCTATTTCACAGTTTATTTGCCTAGTTTGGCCCTTGTGTTTTGTCTGCAGCTTGAGGCCTGCTGTGGCTGCTTCCATTTCCCTGCATGCACACAGACACACACAGCCAGATGTCTTAGCCTGGAGGTGAAGTTAACCAGCTTTTTTGGTGATTTTGCTGATCCTGAAAAGACTTACTGAAGAGCCTCTGCTCCTTCGACCCAGGAAGCTGTAATGTTGCTGAAGTAACCACTCATGTGGATAGGACACTTGCAAAGTTCACATTTTAAGAAAAGACAGAGTCTCCATAAACACCTCATCTGAGATACGCCTTGTGTTTATGCTGAGAAGGTTTAAAGACCAAAACCCTGAAGAGCTTTCATGTTGGTTTAACAGTGCTAAGTTGAGGTAATTGTTACACGATATTCGTGGCTAGTGAAATTCAGTTTCCAGTAGCTTAATGTTGTATTTGTGATGGAGAGCAAGTTGCCAACCACAGCCACACAGAAGTCTTACTGGCAAACACAGTTTGATGTTTCTCTATTAAGACAGGATGCAGTGGTCCTATTTTTTTCCCAATCTGACTTAATTAAAAATAAAAAAATAAAAAAATCTCAAAATGGCCATCAGCAGCATGACATGTCTTTGTTTTCACACAGAGGTGGGTGGGGCATTTTTGTCCCATTCCTTCTTGGATAGATGATAGTGTAGCACCTAGCACCCCACTGCACGCAGGGCGCTACCCACCTCCGCTCCCCTCATGTGAAGTATCGGCACTGTGTGGAGTCGATGTAGCAGTAAGAAGTGCAGCGCAGCTTTCCGTAAGACCTAAAATAAAAGAGAGTATCTCAGAGTATGCAGAAATAGCTCACTTCATGTGGTTTCTGGTTGTAACTCTCTGTAGGAGTGAAGAACATCAGAAAATGCTGCACGCAGCAACGTACGGGACTTAAAATTAGAGGGTAATTTCCACCACTGCTCCCCCTTGCCAGCAAAAAAAAACGACTCCAGGAGAAAGTATGAGTGAAGACAATTCCCAGTAATGTAAATAAAAAAAGATCCCCACTGGCAGCAGGACATGAGTGTTATGTCAAGGAGGTTGCAGAAAGCCTTGATGCTCACCTATGGGAACTGTATAATGAAATATCTGAGTCATTGAGTTGCATATTTTTCCTGTTACTTCAAATAGTTCTCGCAGGTGTAACTCTGCCTGTCCTTTAACTTATTTGTCGTGTACTTGAAATAATGATAGTGACACATGCCCACCTTTGAAATAAAAGAAAATGGAAGGCTTATTGAAAAATAAGGAAAAACAGTGGGTTTTGTTTTTCTTCTGACTTAAACTGATCTACAGTGACTTTACCTACTGAAGACCTGACCACAGGTGTTAACAAAATAAACATTTTGATGAGTTTCTATTGATAGCATATGCCTAAGTGAATAACCAATCCATCAGATAATCCACAAGCTATGGATAACGCAGCCATTAAGCAGGTCCTTAAAACCACATCCTTGGATAACCAACATTCACAGAACATTAAAATAAATTTGTGTGTGAAATATGTGAAGTTTGAGGGCTGGAAATAGTAGAAAATGGTAAAATCAGCTTGCAGCAGAACTCTTGGAGGAAAGGATGCTTTGGGGTGAAGCTCCAATAAGAGTGCCATGCTCACAAGCTTATCCCATTTTACTGATGAGCCTCAGCTTTTTAGTTTAGCAGATAATTTGCAGACTGCACACACAAAACAAAGGATCCCATTTGCTCTTCACAACTTGATTATACATGGAAAGTGAAAATTATAAACATTTCTCAAGGTTTTGTGGTGCTGTTTTTGACACCAAACTTCAGACTCTTAGAAAGGAATAGTTTTTACAGTAGACAACAGCTCTATACTGTCTGAAGATGTGATCTCTGTAAAATGTTTCAGGTTGTCAGGTTTGCTGGTCTTGATTTTGGTAATCTCTTACACCAGGAGTGCTCCAACAATTGCAGTGGAAGGATTAGCACAGCACTTTACTTACAAAAAACATCCTGTGGTTTCTTATTCCTGCCAATTAGCACATTATTCTTCCATGAATGATGAGGGCTCTGCGCATAATTTCATTTCAAATTAAATATTTCCTGCTAGCCAGTAACAATACCTGACAGCTAAATAGAGGGACTCCTGTCAGAGGCAAAACGCTGACCAGAGGAAGCTGCTTAAACAAAGGTAGAGAGGGCAAATCAACAATAAGCAGATGTGTTAAATGAAGGACATTGCTAAGCAGATGCATGACTTTGCATCTGCTCTAGAGTGAATTTCCTGGTCTTTGGGATGGCTGATAGATGACCTGTTGATTCAGAAAGAAAAACACCCCTAGAGCACCCACTAAGGGCAACAGGAGGTGGTGGTTATGGTTTGAGTTTTGTCTGTTTTTCCTTCAGTGTTGTAATTTGTTTCTCACAGGCTTTCTTACTCTTGGTAAGTCATGGGTGAACATTAATGCGATGATAGTGTCACCAAATGAGGAATCTTTGCAAGCAACAGGTAAATGTGTCTGTGTTGCCTTAGTTCATTTTGTACAGTGAGAGGCATGTGCTTATCACTGAAAGTTGATGAGATTTAGCCCTTGAAGTCAATGATATGCAGGAATAATCTTATAGAATCTTCCTCCCCCACTACCTACAGTGGTCCCAGGGGAGCAAAGATTAAGTGGGTAACGCTTCTCTGTTATAAAGCTGGCAAACAGAAAAAAACACCCCCTACCCCTCAAAAAAAAACCAACCAACAAACAAAACCCTGGACCAAAGTGAAGGTGGCTCATACATACCCAGGGAGATAGGTTTTACATGTCAAATAACCAAAATCCATCCCATCACAGTCTTCAACCCCCTCGTGTCGGTAGCCATCTCCACAGTAAGCGCGGCGGCATCCTAGTGAAAAATACAGAGAAGAAAATACTTTCGAGGCACTTCAGATGTAAAAAAGGAAGGTGAGGTAAGTGGAACTAGATTTTTAACAGCACAGTGTAAAACAAAGCATCCCGGGAGGAGCATCCTGTAAGGACTGTCTTAGGAGAAGCAATATTCTTCACTACAAGACCATGGGTTTTTTAGTCTGATTTCATTGACCAAGGGGGAAAAAATGATAACTACTAAAAATAGCTACTACAGAAATACTAGTGGCAACAGCATTTATTCTAATTATTATTGTAACCATAGATAATGACTATCAAAACAAATTAGAGGAAGAATAAAATACAGTTAACATTAATGATTTGGGGAGGTCACAATTTAAAAAAAATTCACTCTGATGTCATTAAGAGGTTTGAAAATCCCAGCCTTAGACCTTTACCCAATGTTGCACAGTGACTGTGTGTCTACTGCAAGTGAATTCCCACATCCAAACTGAATGATTCAGGCCTATTTCCTGTCTATCAGGGTAAAAACAAAAAAGTATGTAGTGATTGTCAAAAAAGTGTCTTTCCCACTGCTTTCCTACTGACTTGAGCATGAGTGGGCATTGTGACATTTTTTTCATGGTAACTGGCATGTAGGCTCCAGTGATTTGTGGGTTTTTTTGCTATTTTAGCAACTGTACTTTGCTTTTGATGTCTTCAACTTTTTGAGTACAACTTTAAAACTTGAACAAATTTGTTTCACTAAAATCCCTTTGACATCTTCTCAGAAACACTACTGAGCCAGGGATTAAAAATATACCCAAGAATAGGGTGTTTATAAGAGTTAAAGTGGGTTATTTACAAATAGAATTTCTTAATTAATTGCACCAAGGATCTGTTTGTTAGAAGTCAATGCTTCTAAGAACAATGAGCTTATTTAATTAATATTTAATTAATTCATAATTAAATCCACTTAACATTTGGTTCACCTTTTTTGTTCAGGTCAAGTCACAAGTGCTGTAACTCAATGATAACTATTTTGGTCACTTCAGTCACATCTACATCTTGCAAGTCCTCTATCAACATGAAGCTTCAGCCAGTGTAGAGCACAAAGTAACACAATGTGCCTCCAGACACACAGTGTAAAATTTTGCAGACACTAGAACAAACAGACACTATTTTCCTGCATGCTTACTCCCCATGGTTGATTGCAAATTCTAATTGAATCAGTTTCTGACGCCTGGAGAACTCATGTTGTCTCACTGTACTACTCTGCAGTCAGACAAGCTCAGAGGGGCATTTATTTATTTGTCTCCCTATGCCTGTTGCAACTGAATTGCCGTTGAAATCTCCTGTTGTCACTGAGAAGCTGGCTGGGATCCCTACGTTATAAGGGGAAAGATGATGATGGACAGGTGGAGGGACAAACTCACATAGTGTGGCTGCATACACCTCATTTTCAAAGGCAGATTAAAATATTGAGTGCCCTATAAATGAAAAAGAAAAATTGCACCTTCCAGTGTTGGCTGATACCATTTCTGAAATGTGAAGAAGCATGCCTTGGCTAGAACCAACAGAGGATCAAACCTGCTGTGTGTCAGCTGTAGATGATGTGGGGTGCTGTGCTCTGGGAAAGGAATCAAGCAGTAAAAGTAACTGAAAGGTAGAAGTGAAGGTGGCCACAGCTGCTTGTAGGCTTACATGCTCATATATTCTTTGCTCTACACAACAAAATGTTACATAGAGCTAACAGTTAAGGTAGTGGGCTGACATCTTCTCTATGCAAGTGAGTAACAAAATCCAAAGTGTTTTTACTGGACTAGCTCACTGTTAGTTACAGCCAGCTTCAGTGTCCATCCTGAGGGCTTTTCTGGGGCACTCCAAAGGTGCTGGCCCTAAAGCTGGCAGCCTGTGGGGAAGGTGTGTATGTAAACCAGCTGCAGGATGTGGCCCCTGAAATGTAGTGGATTTGCTCTGACTGCAGACACCTCTACTCAGTGAGGTATATGGTCCTTGATGAGGATGCATGAGAAGAACTTGGCACCACATCTGCTGTGCTGGTGTGTGGCATCCACGTGCACGAAGGACCTCAGATTTTGCACTATGGCTGTGGTGCCTCCCTCTCCCAGTGCCTCACCCCACAAAGAACACAAGCTCCCTTGAGTGAAACACGTGTGTGATTTACAGAGCAGCATTCCCCGTGGAAACAACTAATGCACCTTCCCTGGTAGAAAGTGGCTGTTCTTGATGTGCTCTAACTTACTTATACAGTCGTCAGTCACAACCACGTTGCCATCGTCGCACTCCTCCCCATCCTGCACGATCCCGTCTCCACAAGTACCGCCAGCCTCGAAGCGGTAATCCACGGGATAGAAGGGGGTGAGCTGGCCAGAGAAACACACCGTGGTTACTGAGCCAGCCTCGACCAGCCTGGCCAGCAAGCAGAGGTGAAGGGCTCTGGAAGGCAGATCCTGCAACCGGGTTTTCATATCCCACTATTTGGTGGTTCGCAGGGTTTATACAGAATCTGATTCAAGCGCAGCGAACACATGGAGGATCCTGCTGCCGATTCCAGCAAGACTTAGCTTAGTTGCTTGAAGCAATAAGGAAATACGTGTTTTTGGTTTTCAGGGTCTGTGTTTTTTGGCTTTATTTTGTGTTAAATAAAAAATGCTCTTTGCTGTCTTAATTCCCCAGACTCAACCCCATTTTGTTCACCAGTGGAGCCTCGTTTGCAGGGAGGTTAGCAAAACCTGCAAGACTGATGAGTTACTGCCTCAGTAATTAAGACTCCTGTGAACAAAAATCATAGAATTAGGTACAGTTGTGGCACTGCTTGAAAATGGCTTTTTTTCCATTTCCATTTCCTTGATTCTATACGACACCTTAAGTACAGAAGTATGTTCTGTATTTTAAAATGAAACATACACTCATGGATTTTCTGAGACCACAGTCATATTTTCACCTGGACTGGGAGCCATCCAAAGGTGTCCTTGAAATACAAAGATCTCTGATCTCTTCTAAAAGCTAAGGCATTTTTGGTGTTTAACCGGTCCAATTCTTCTTGATTATTCACCACAAAAATCTAGGGCACAGAAAAAGAAAAAAAAAAAAAAAGAAGTGATTGGTAACTCTCTCAAGAAGCATTTTGGATTGGCACGGTAACTAGTTTTATCTGCCAATAAGTAAATAACTGCACAGGAAAATGGTTTGGTTGTTTTCAGAAACAGAACGGTATTCTGGCCCTGGGTGACAACTTAACCCATGGACTGGCACAGCATAAAAGGCTCTTTTGTGACTGGTAAGAGGAGACACTTTCTTGCTTTCAAGAGAAATGAGAGCTATGGGTCTGGGACTTCAGCTCAAACACAATTACAGAATCAGTTCTTTGCTGGCTTTCTATTTTTTTGCTTTCTTTCATTCAAGCTGAAGGCATTTTTATTAAATTAGCCTTTTTTGGGGGCTATGGCAATATTCTGCTATGTGAAAGTTTTGGGGTTAATTTATTTTAAAAAGAACCAATTCTATTTATGCTGGTGGGAATCAGGCTCAGCCCTAAATCCATTTTGCTCAGAAGCATTCCATTTGCTTTTTCTTAATTTAAAAGTGGTTTGAATAATGCTAAAATTAATTTGATTAGGCTGCTGAAGGAAGATATTGTATCCTAATGCCCCATACAGCCAATTTCAGTGACTGAGATATTAAAAAAATTGTAAGAAAGCAGCTCGACCTAATTTTTCCACTTCGAACAATTTTTTTTCTGTTTAACTGAAGACGACTTTAGACTGGAGTATATGGAACTACTAGGAACTACTGGAAAGAGGCCAGCACAGAGCCACAAAGATGATGAAGTGGAACATCTCCCTGTTGAGGAAAGGCTGAGGGAGCTGGGTCTCTTTAGCTTGAAGAGGAGACTGAGGGGCAACCTCATCAATGTTTACAAATATTTTAAGGGCCAGTGTCAGGAGGATGGAGCCAGGCTCTTCTCAGTGATGTCCAGTGACAGGACAAGGGGCAATGGGTGCAAACTGGAACACAGGAGGTTCCACATAAACATCAGAAAAAACTTCTTTACTGTGAGGGTGACAGAGCACTGGAACAGGCTGCCCAGAGAGGTTGTAGAGTCTCCTTCACTGGAGACATTCAAATCCTGCCTGGACACGTTCCTGTGTGATGTGCTCTGGGTGACCCTGCTCTGGCAGTCCCAGCCCGAAAGCACTAATTTCTCTTGAAAGCAAGAGCAGACCCCTGAGGGACTCCACTAGTCACAGACCTCCAGCTAGATTCTGTCCCATCGACCACAACTCTCTGACTTCTTCCTTTCAAGCAGTTCATGATCCACCTCAGTACTTGATCATCAAGACCACACTCCCTCAGTTTACCTACGAGGATGCTGTGGGAGACAGTGTCAAATGCTTTACTAAAATCAAGATAAACCACATCTACTGCCCTACCATCATCTATCCACCTAGTTACTTCCTCGTTACTTCTTTCCACTCCCAGAGCTGAAGCTTGCCACTCTGCCATCCCTCACTTCTGAGAAGATGGCACTTGATCATCATCAAATGAGGGTTTGAATACAGTGCAGGGTATGTACATTTTAGGCAGTTACACTCTCACTACTGTCTTTTGAGATCTAATATGAAACTGTTGCAGAGGGAAAATGAGGGTCATAAAACCTCCACAGATTGTTGCAAGCCTTATTATACCTTATGGCATGAGCTCTCCACTCTGTGAACTACATGAGAGTTTTTTGCAATAGTGTGCAGCATGATGTGATAGGCAACTTTATTTCCTGCATATTCTTCTCTCCCTATAACAGTTTAAAAAATAAGGGGGCTTTTTTGCAATGCACCACGCATAGGATGAGCAGCTCAGACTTGCAGCACACTCATGAAAAAGATGAGAGTTGATGGGCAGTGTTGTGAATTTGTCTTTCACACAGTGTAAGAGATTCCTGACAAGGCTACAGATGGAAAAGTTAACAAAGCTAATTGCTGCTTATTATCATTCAGAGATGACCAGACACTCGCAATAAACACTTGGATGCGTGGAATGGCTGGGCTATGGGGGCATACAGCAGCAAGGCAGCATTTTCATTGCTGATGAAGTGTTACAATGCCCAGAATAATAAGGCAGAGACTAGCAGGAAGGACAGAAATACTATTTACAAAGCCCAAATAAATCAGAGATTAAGGATTGCTAGGTCACTTCCCAACAATGACTTGTCCTTTAAAGTGCTTTGTCCAATTTGCCCATAAAAATGCTTTTATGAAGACCAGAGATTGGAATTAGCTATATAAAGTGTATGTCTACAGACAGGAGCTCGGAAGTCTGGCTCCCATGGTTCATGGAGACTCCATTTTGATCCAAGGGTCTGTGCTTTGGTCTGTTCTATGGTGTATGTGAAATGCTTGACTTCACTATTCAATTCTGACATCACTGTTTTTGCAGAAGATATAAAATATAAGCAAAAAAAGAGCTGCTTACTGCACTGACCAGCCTGAAATACGTTTCAATTTACTGAAATAAAAAGAACGTGTTATAAATGTACAGAAATGGAAAAGAGCACCTGCAGACTCGAAAAATGGCTTCTAAACACATGCTACATTACTGCTGGTTTGAAACAGCTGCATTTCAGCACCTCCAACACACACCCCTCAGACTTCTTTTGAGACCAGACTCCTTTGCGCCAACTGGATCTCAGAGGTGGTAGAGACTAGAAATACCACCTCACAGCCCTACTGACATCTTCCCTGTTAAATCCAAAATATTGGTGAGTACAACCCCTCTCACAATAAAAAGCACTCCAGAACTGCTCACATCCTCTCCCAGAAAATCTGCTCACCGCAGGGACTTTTGGATAACTATATCCAAACACAGGTTCCTCATATGGTGGGTTATTCACATGCTGTGGGGGTCTGCAGAGACATCTCCCTGGTGGTCCTGGAAGTCCTCTTTCCCCTTTTGGTCCTATTGCAAATTGGGCTAGGAAGCAAAATGCCAGGTTAACTTGTTACAAAGGTAACATACAAAACACAAATGCAGGCTAAGTAGAAAAAGTACAGGTCAAATGGATATATGCATTTAGGTAAATTTTCAGAGCTGCACATCTCCCACCAAACCCCCTGGGAACTGCAGGAAGTTATTACCAGAGTCACCTGTGACAGCGCTTCAGAAGAAAGACTGGGGTTTGTACCAACACCAGTTTTTTTTCCAGGTCACTTTAAAATTTTTTCCTACCAACTTTACAGAGAAAAAGAGAGGCCATTTGCTAAGGATTTCCAGATAGATGTCAGCCTGTATAAGGTTAGAGAAATTCTAGTCATTATGATCACACAGATCACTCCACTCTCCGAGTTCAGTTGTGACTCTATAGACATCTGAACTTGAGCATTTGTGCAGCCACTTGAGCAATACTGTTTCTGAGGTTTTTAGGCAAGAAAACCCAACTAGAAATACAAGAGTGCAACAAATAAAAATGAAAAAAAAAACCACTGCTTTTTGACTTTCAGACTTAGGCAAGGATGCTCTACTCTGCAGAATTAGACTGTGAGCCCATATATTCATGCTGCAAGCAGTGACATCATTACAGACAGGTCATTTAGGATCAGAATTTATATTCTAGAGGAAAAAGATCAACAAGCCTAACACGTAAACTTTCTGTGGATGGAATAAAGCCTTTAAAAAGTAATCTCAAGAACCTGGCTGCCTTCACATTGGCATGGTGAAAATTCTGCCCTCTGAAAACTTCCAGCTAGTTTACTCAGGACCAGGAAGTTTCACAATGGGTGAAATGAGTTACATGAAGATTTTGAACCAGCCCCAGCTTCACAGATGTACCATTTCCAGACCACCAGAAAGAAGATCCTTCCTGTTCATTGATGTTAAGCAAGGACCAAAAAAGGGAAAGCAAAATGGAAAAGGACATGGAACAGATTTGCTGTAGTGCAAGTAGCTGTTGTCTATTTGAGGCAATGGCAGTTTCCAGTTGGTTTTGTTTTTCTTTTCAGGTACTCTAGTAAGAAAATCCTACTTGAGGGTTCATTGTCACTGAACATTGTGGGTCATGTATTGTTCTTCATGTCTATGCTTGGTCTCACAAGCTGCCTAGTATTCATGTGCATGCACAGCTTTGAAGCTGTAAGATGATCAGTTAGAAGATTTTTATCCTGATTTCTACAAGACTCACAATTGTTGTGAGTGCAGATCTACAACACTTAACTAAAGAGAGAGGGTTTTTTCCACCACCTGCTTTATCCCTCTGACTCCCTTCCTTCCCTTTCTTTCTTTCTTTCCTCATTGGTATTGTGACTCAAGTCTCATCTGTTTTTATTTTATAGAGCTGCACAGGCTGACTATGACCTGGCTGGTTAGAAATTGTAATCTTTCTTTGTAAACCAGGATATCTGGCAAAGCAGGAGACCTTTGATGATGGAGATTAACTAGTCTCTCTAAGGCCACCAGATGGCTTTTCATCATCCCCATCTACCCAAGTCCCACAGATACCACATAGGCCATATTTTTTGTTTTATTTCAAACATCAAAAGCCATAATGTTGACTTTAAAATAAGGTATAGAGTCTGTATAATGGACAAGGATGCCTTCAGGAGAAATCCTGAAGCTGTCAGTGAAGAAGCAAAGCCCTGCAGCACTTTTTATAAATGGGGCCATGTAGGCATATGTCATGAGTCAGGAAGGGCTGGGGAGCAGGGACACTACTTAGGAAATCACCTGATCTCCTGCTTACCTAATCCTGAAGGTCCAGGGGGGCCTGGCTGGCCAGAAGGACCAGGCCTTCCAGGTGGTCCCATGATACCCGCAGGTCCAATGTCTCCCTTTAGTCCCTAGGAGAGAGGAGACATCCATTCATTTGCTAAACTATTGCTTTGTTTAATCCTACAAAGTAGTGCTGTGCCAGCAAAATATTCCAGGCTTTACATGAACACCAGTGATGCTGATCCCTAATTATGTCTTATATTATGCAACATGGAACCAGCAGACCAGGATTTTGTAGCCCCCAAGAAGGCTGTGGGAAGTCTCTTTTACCCCATACAATAGTGATCTGGCAGAGGAAAGCCAGGGCCAGCTGGACATGTACTGCTTGAAAATGAGCTGTCTACTGTGTTGCTCTGTCTCCTGCTTTGAAGGAACGATGGCTTAATGCTCTCTTCTTTAGCACAGGTAGATTAAGTAATAAGGTTTATATTAAATGTCTTTGTCTTGGTTGTTGTTTGATTGTTTGGGGTTTGTTTGGTTTGGTTTGGTTTTTTGTGTGTTATTCTTTTTTTCACATGCTTCCATGGTATTCAGAAAGGTTTTTCTTAGGGGCAATAGTTACATTCCTCTCCCTTCCTTCCAAGTAACATTTCTCTAAAGCCCATAGTCATTC